CTCAGGATGAAGCATGGTGAAAGGCACAGCCCAAATGTCACTCTGCTCTAGTAACAGGCAACCTAAAAAGATGCTTTTGCTGAACCTGTAAATTAAAAACACATAAAATCTGGGCACCCAGCCCACACCCTCTTTCCCATCTAATCTTCTTTTATCTAAGCCACTTCCTACAGTGATCACAATCACCTTAGGCTCCAGGAAGAACAAGATTCATCAGTAAGCACCTAGTGACAAAAGGCAAACTGCCCCCACAGAAAGGCAGCGTCATCTTTTTATCACCTTGAAGAGAACAGCCTAAAGCTACAAACCACTTGCCAGATCTCCGGAGTCAAAGACTGAGCTAATAATTAACCATGCCTGTAAAAGTAATGCAAATCAAAGCCAACATTGAGATTCCACCTCTCACAGTTACAATGGCCATTAACAAGAAAACTAACAATAAGGGGCTGGGAAGATGGCTCAGTGGTAGAGCATGTGCCTTGCATGCCTGAGGCTCTGGGTTCAATTCCTCAGCACCACATAAGCAAAATGAAAAAAGCCGGAAGTGACGCTGTGGCTCCAGTGGTAGAGTGCTAACCTTGAGCTGAAGAGGTGAGGGACAGTGCCCAGGCCCAGAGTTTAGGCCACATGAGACCCCCCCCCAAAAAAAAGAAAACTAACAATAATAGATACTGGCAGGGTTGTGGCAAAAAGCTACCCACTACCGGACCCCCCCAAAAAAATAAATAAATCCAGCTGGGCGCCAGTGGATCACACTTGTAATCCTAGTTACTCAGGAGGCTAAGATCTGAGGATCCTGGTTCAAAGCCAGCCTGGGCAGGAAAATCCATGAGACTCATCCTCAATAAACCACCAGAAAACCAGAAGCAGTGCTATGACTCAAGAGGTAGAGCACTCTATTTGAGATGAAGTGCTGAGGGACAGCATCCAGGCCCAGAGTTCAAGCCCCATGACCAACAAAACACACACACACACATCCTAACACAAGCTCCAGCACTAATGAATCTTTTTTTTCTTTTTTGTCAGTCATGGGCTTGAACTCTGGGCCTAGATGCTGTCCCTCAGCTCTTCAGCTCAAGGCTAGTGCTCTACCACTTGAGCCACACCACCACTCCCAGCTTTTTCTGCTTATGTGGTGCTGAGGAATTGAACCCAGGGCCTCATGCATGCAAGGCAAGCGCTCTACTACTGAGCCACCTTCCCAGCCCATTAATTAATCTTATAGACATTACAGTAAGTGAAAAAGGCTAGTAGCCAATAAAAAATCCATGAAATTAGAATAATATGAGGTACTTCGTTTTCAGATTGAGATAATGTTTATAGTGAAGTCCATAGCTGTCTCTATTGGAAATCTACAACCTCAACGGATTTATCTCTTCAGAAAGGTTGCCAAAATAGGTAAAAAGCACCGTGTGTGTGTGTGCGTGCGTGCGTGCGTGCGTGCGTGCGTGCGTGCGTGTGTGTGTGTGTGTGTGTGTGTGTGTGTGTGTGTGTGTGTGTGTGGTAGTGGGGCTTAAACGGCCTGACACCATCCTTTAGCTTTTCCCCCTTCAAAACTGGAGCTCTATCACTTGGGCCCCAGCTACACTTTCTGATTTTTTGTGGTTAACTGGAAATAATAGCCTCACCAATTTCCTTCCCTGGCTGGCTTTGAACCTTGTTCCTCAGATCTCAGCCTCCTGAGTAGCTAGGATTCTAGGCATGAGCCACCAGCGCTCAGCCTCCAAAGGCATCTTACAAGGACAATTTAGGCAGGTGCCTTTACAGGGACTCTCCTGTTACCATACTGATTTTTTTTCCACCAGGGCCATTCTTTGTATGTCCATGTTCACTTATGCTAATAGCACTAGGTTTTCTTTTCTTTTGCCAATCTTGGAGCTTGAACTCAGGGCCTGAGAACTGTCCCTGAGCCTCTCTGTGCTCAAGGCTAGCACTCTACCACTTGAGTTACAGTGCCACTTCTGGCTTTTTTCTGTTTCTGTGGTACTGAGGAATCGAACCCAGGGCTTCACTCATGCTAGGCAAGCATCCTACCACTAAGCCACATTCCTGGCCCTAGGGTTTCTTTTTGTAAACAATCTTTTTGTAAAATTATATTATTTATTTATTATTTACATGGTACCAAGGAATCAAACCCAGGGCCTCATGCATGCTAGGCAAATACTCTACTATGAAGCCACATTCCCAGCCCTAGGGTTTCTTAAATAAATACAGCTTTTCTTGTTTGTATGAGATGCTCACCACAGACTCCCAGATTTCACTCCAGTGTATATATTCACCCAAATGCAGGAGTTCTAAGTCATCCAAGGCCTCCATCACTGTAATTACTAATAAGCTATGTAATTATCAAAAGTTCTGAACATGTTGAGCCCTGGGACCTCACACCTGTAATCCTAGCTACTCGGGAGGCTGAGACCTGAGGAGCCCAGTTCAAATCCAGCACAAACAGGGTTGTTCATGAGACTCTTCTCTGCAATTAACCACCTAAAAGCAAGACAGAAGTGGAGGTGTGATTCAAATGATAGAGCTCCAGCCCTGAGCATAAAAAGCTAAAGGACAGCACCCAAACCCCTAAGGTTCAAACCCCAGTACCAGGTCCTGATTGTGGATCAAATCTGTCTATCTCTGGAAGACCAGAGTTTCCTGGCTTCACTGAAATAATGCTAGTAAATAATAATTCTGGTACCTAGGAGGCCCTTGAATTTGCAAGGCTTGGCTTGCCCTAGTGGTTTTGCATTCAATAGGGGACTCCTGACTCTGGAAGAGTAAGAAGGGGCTCCCAGAGGTAACATGAAGCCTGAGGGTATTTTTTTCAGCTCCCAATGATGTCAGAGCCTCATTGAGTTTGCCTCTTATCTCCCAATCTCATCTGAGTCAGGAACACAGTGCAAAATGCTCTCAGTATGTAACTTGGAAACAACTAGGTAAAAGCCCTGAAGTAGAAAAGCAACTGATCACCCAGGGCTGCCTGAGTGCCTGGCTGCTTCCACCTGTCCACTGCTTGCCCTCAGGACCAGGAGTTCCTGGGCCAGCCTAGCTCATTTCACAGATAACATTCAGGCACAGGCACACTCATCCAGGGTCCCAGCATCCAGCAACCTCAAGTTGGGACCTGTGTTTCCATTGCTGCCTGTCCCTACTGCTGGTCCTTTCCTGCTCCTCACATCACACTGCTCTTTTTTCCTCTTCTCATGGTTCTTTGTTTTCCTTCTGCTGCTCTCTTCCTTGCCTAGAATGCCTGAGGATCCCTTGGCTCAAGGGAAAAGACAAGTGGCTGAGTAAGTTCATGCTGATACCCACATGCTGCAAAATGAAGGGCCTTTCTGTGTCAGAATCACGGTAAAGACCATGGCTGCCCCTCTTGGGGGGAGGGGGAGGCTACAGACTTGCACCTTTATAGACACTGCTAAAAATGTTAGCAAATACATTTTTTAAAGTGACAATAGAGCCGGGCACTGGTGGCTCACACCTGTAATCCTAGCTACTCAGGAGACTGAGATGTAATGATTTTTTTTTCTTTTTTGTCGGTCATGGGGCTTGAACTCTGGGCCTGGGCGCTGTCCCTCAGCTCTTCAGCTCAAAGCAAGCGCTCTACCACTTGAGCTACAGTGCCACTTCCAGTTTTCTAGTCGTTTATTGGAGATAGGAGTCTCACAGTCTTTCCTGCTTGGACTGGCTTTGAACCGAGATCCTCATATCTCAGCTCCTGAGTAGCTAGGATTACAGGCGTGAGCCACCGGCGCCTGGCTAGGATTATATTTCAAAGCCAGTCTGGGAAGGAAAGTCCTTGAGCCTCTTATCCCCACTTACCTAGCAAAAAAGTCAGAATTGCAGCTGTGGATCAAGTGGTAAAGCACTAGCCTTGGGCAAAAAAGCTTAGAGACATTGCCTAGGCCCTGAGTTTAAGCCTCTGGACTGCAGGCATACATGCATGCACACGCACGCGTGCACACACACACACACACATACATACACACAATAAACATGAAAGCAGTTGTGAGAAAATTTGGGGGAAGAAGGCAAACAGCGGGAAGTAAGAAGGAGGCAGGAGAGAATGATGGACAGGTGAATAAGGTCAATGTATATAATATAGAAATATGATAATACCGTAACAAACCCATTTTTGTACAATTAGTACAAAAATAAATGCTTTCTGAATATTAATTCATTTATCTATACTACAACAGGAAAAGTGCCCCCAATCTTATGTGCAATAAGCCCTAGGTGGAGTTTTACATTTGCACTCTGGTTGGAATCCATTACACAATGTTTGTAATGTTCAGATGTCAGCAGGGTCTCATAGAGTCTGGCAGAGCCCTTGTCATTAGCCAGAATGTTGCCCAAACCCAGTTCCAAGGTCCTGTTCCTTTGCTTTTTGGGATCTTAGACATGATGATCACCTCATTCGCAACTTTGGCTAATATATAGGTTGGGGAATAGGGATAGTGAGGTCATGAGAGGTTCTTACAATCTTCACAGGAAGGGCCTAGGGGTGCAAATGTGGTCTTGACCCTCCCCCGGTCTATATCACCACTAGGAGTAATCAGCTAATATCCAAAGTAGATTAACTTGGCACTTGCTCCAGAGAGAACTCTTGCAGCTTTACTTTATTCTCTTTTTTTCCCCATAAATCTACACTTTGCAACTTTGCTTCCCCCATGCCCTGCGGTTGGGCTATGCCCCATCACTACATATATACACACCTATGTATATGTATGTATACACACAAATATGTATGTATACATGTCTGTGTGCATGCATGTATGTATACATACATACACTTTACAGCACTGTTATTGGCTATAAGCGGAAAACCAAAAGTAGTGTCCTCCAAAGCAGGGGAATCCAGAGAAAGGCGGGGAAAGCGGGGAGGGGGGGCGGGGGGAGAAATGTTGGGGGCGTTGCATTGCGCAGCTTCTAGGTAACCAGGGGGTGGCCTCTAGATTTGGACTATCTGCGCTCATTCGCTTCCCCAACTCAACTCTCAAACCCTTTCGCAGATTTCCACCCCTGTGATTCCCCAATGACTCCACCTACCCGGATCGAGATGGAGATGGGAAGGATGGCCGCTCCTGAGCAAGGTGCAGCCGCTTCAGTGAGAGGTGGCCAAGTGCTTGAAGAAGCACTAGGCCTCGTGGAGGCGGGCCAGCACCTGAGTGGTGAAGAGCTAGTTCAGGATGGTGATATGAACGCTCTTGAAGGCTTGGCGGTGGAGAGTGATAGCCTTGATGACATAGACCAGAACGGTGAGCAGGACCAGGCAGAGCTTGTCCTCATGGGTGCTGGGGCCGCTCCACATCAACGAAGGCGACGACGAGGACAACAAATACAGTTCCAGTTCACCCAGGGGCAGGTAGACGAGCTCGAAACTGTTTTCCAAGAAACTCGGTACCCAGATCTGCTCACACGGTAAGAGGCTTGCACTGGAGACACCTGATCTTCAAGGCTTTGGGACCATTTCCTAACACCTTTTCTGTACCGGCCTCTCCTACCTATCTTGACCCACCCAAATCACTGTTATATTCACCTGCCCCGCTGCTGCGAGTTAAGAGCCAGCCTTAGGAGGTCAAGGTTGATATTTTCCGCCAACAATTAATTACTCCAATCCAGTCTGGAAACTGGTCGCTCAAAGCCACTTTTTGTTTCTTTTTTGAATTATGGTGAGACCAGATACAAAGTAGTGTGGACTATCTCAACCTCTCTAAAGACTTTAGAAATACCACAAGGGTAATTATTTTCATGTTAGTTTCACACCTTTCCCGATGTTTCTTGACCTTGTGGAACTGAAACACTTTGCAACAAAGGATTCCCCAATTTTAGCCTCCAGGCGTGTCCGCCCCACCCCCACCATTCTGTCATTTCCTTCTCTGAAATGGACCACTCTACTATTTTAGATAAGGAAAACCACACCGTGTTTGTGCTTTTGTGACCCTTTAACTGCTTTTAGCACAATGGCCTCAGAAGTCATCCATGTTATTAAAGACTGCATGGCATTCCATTATCTGGATACCAAAACTGCTTGAGCTTTGGGATGTGGACCTCCCTCAGGGTTGCTTTTTGCATACAAATTTTTGTGACCATCCACTGTGAATGGGAGTAGAAAAATATCTCTTCAAGGCTGACTTATTTATTTTAAATTATTTTTTGTTATCTTTAAATCGTTGGACAAAGGGGTTTCAGGTCAATTTACCCATGTAAATGTTCATAATCTCACTTGTTCAATTGAAACCCCTTTGTACAGTACTTAAAACAGAAAAAAATATGAATACAATGCATCATTTTTCTTTTCTAATTTTTTAGTATCTTTAAGTGATTCTACAAAGACATTTCAATTCAACATATCAGTTTATGAGTACACAAATCTTGAACCTGCCATTCATTATTTTGGGGGTCTAATGTAAACAGCAATACTTGCTGGAAGTAAAGGCTGTGAAAGAGGTTGGCAATCACAGGAAGACAGACTGTATTAAGCTATATTGTTTATAGAAAAGTACAATTCATTATTCATTCGTTTATTTACTTATTATTTTTATCAGCCATGGGGCTTGAACTCTGGGCTTGGGAGCTGTCCTTGAGCTCTTCAGTGCAAGGCAAGCATTCTACCACGTGAGCCACAGTGCAACTTCCGGTTTTCTGGTGGTTACAAGCGTGAGTCACCAGCGCCCGCTTATTGAACTATGGTTTTGATTTGTATTTTCCTAGTGATGTTGAGCATCTGTTTATGTGATTGGTAGTTATTTCTGTATTTTCTTTGGGAAACTTCTATTTAAGTTCTTTTCCCATGTTTGACTCTGGTTGGGGTATTTTTGAATACTAGATTGTCAGAATTCTTTCTAGAATTCCTTTTCAAGCAGATGACTTGCAAATACTGCATTCCATTTTGCGGTTCCTTTTCATTCTATTGCATCCTCTAGTTCAAGAAGTTACTTTTGATATAGTCCAGTTTATCTATTTCACCTTTTCCACTGTGCTGCTGGATTGCCTTTGTTTTTTTTGTTGTTGTTGTTGTTTTTTGGGTCCGGTCGTGGGGCCTGAACTCTGGGCCTGGGTGCTGGCCCTCAGCTCTTCAGCTCAAGGCTAGCGCTCTACCACTTGAGCCACAGCGCCACTTCTGGCTTTTTTCTTATGTGGTGCTGAGGAATCGAACCCAGGGCCTCATGCATGCAAGGCAAGCGCTCTACCACTGAGCCACCTTCCCAGCCCTGGATTGCCTTTGTAAATAAGATTTTATGGGAATCAGGGTCAGGAGAATGAGGTACCATCATGCATTGCCATATTTGAAATTTATGTAATTTGTTCATCATACACTTTTCCATGTTCTCATTTTTAATACAATGCATTAAAACTATTGGCTGTTGCTCTGTCAACCTCATTTGATTTTGTGATGTAACATAAACATTGCTAAAGCTAGGCTTTTCTGAGAATTAGTTAGGCATACTTGAGTGGTTGTGAGGAAGCATGGTAATTCTGAAATGAGCACAGAGCATATACACCATTTTGCATGTTCTGCAAAGTCCTGAATATTGACCTTTCATGTTCTCTCCACAGGAGGGTGCTTGCAAGAGGCATGAATGTGCCTGAAGAAAAAGTGCAGGTGAGTAAATCTGAAGAAGACACTTGGCAGGTAGTCAATCTGTGTATGACCTGCTCCATTACTTGGACAGTTGTGTCCTGGTTGGGCACTGTCTCTGATGTCTTTTGCTCAAGGCTAGCACTCTACCATGTGAGCCACAGCTCTGCTTCTGGCTTTTTTTTTGCTGATTAATTGGAGAGAAGAATCTTACAGACATTACTGTCTGAGCTAGCTTTGAACCAAACTGTGTACTACTTGAGCTATCTTTGAACCGAACCAAGATCCATAGATCTCAGCTTCCTAAGTAGCTAGAATTACAAGCGTGAAGCACCAAGCCCAGCTTGTGGGTGTTTTTAAGTTAGTATTCTTTATTGGGGGGGGGTCAGGTCATGGGGCCTGAACTCTGGGCATGGGCTCTGTCCCTCAGCTCTTCAGCTCAAGGCTAGCACTCTACCACTTGAGCCACAGCACCACTTCCGGCTTTTTTCTTTTTGCTTATGTGGTGTTGAGGAATCGAACCCAGGGCCTCTGGCATGCAAGGCATGCGTTCTACCACTGAGCCACCTTCCCAGCCCCAGAAGTATGTATTCTTAACTTGTTCCAGTATGTCAAAGTTGTGTCCAGGACTCCCTGCCAGACGTACTTCTAATTCTCAAGATATTTCAGAAGACCAAAGATGACTTAAGCCCTCCTATTCATTACTGACTTGACCCTGAAAATGGGCTTTGTACTTAGGCAGCTATTTTCCTCCATATGACTTTAGGGGCCAAGTGTTATCATTTCCAGCATTCCAATGGGAATGAGGTGAAAGCCTTTCTAATGAGTAGGAGATACTGGACAGCTGAAGGTCAGCAGACCTTTATTATGTTTTGGGGAACAACTCATAACCAAGATCTACACCCAAAAACTGGAAGAAACTATGACAGAACATTCAAAGTAGGTACAGAGAGACTAAGGACTGAGCCTGTTCCAAAACTTGGCATATAGTTGGTGTTCAGCATGAGCATGCTGAGGAACAGGATTGGTGTTATATTGCCTTCTACTTATTGTTGTTGGTAGTGCTAGGAATTTACCCAAGGCCACCCCCCCCCCATATTTTGGTCATGTGCTTGACCACTGGTCAATCTCTATAGCCTCCACAAGGATTTCAACAATAATAAAAAATAGATTTGACTATGCCATTTATTATGCCCATGGTATTTAAAGTTGCATGATGTGCTCTTTCACAGTTCATGGAGGAGAAAAAAAAGTGGTTAACATATTAAAATAATTCTTTTGGGGGGCTGGGAAGTTGGCTCAGTGGTAGAGTGCTTGCCTTGCATGCCTGAGGCCCTGGGTTCGATTCCTCAACACCACATAAGCAAAAAGAAAAAAGCCAGAAGTGGCACTGTGGCTCAAGTGGTAGAGCACTAGCCTTGAGCTGAAGAGCTGAGGGAGAGCGCCCAGGCCCAGAGTTCAGGCCCCACAACCGGACCAAAAAAAATAATAATAATAATTCTTTTGGGCCAGACACTGGTCGCTCATGCCTGTAATCTTAGCTACTCAGGAGGCTTAGATCTGTGGATCGTGGTTCAAAGCCAGCCTGGGCAGAAAAAGCCGTGAAACTCTTATCTCCAATAAACCACCAGAAAAACGGAAGTGGTGCTGTGGCTCAAGTTGTAGGCTGCTAGCCTTGAGCAGAAGAGCTGAGGGACAGCACTCAGGTCCAGAGTTCAAACCCCATGACTGACAATAATAATAATAATAATAATAGTTCTTTTGGGTCCTCTGATTTCAGAGCTGGTTCAACAATAGAAGAGCCAAATATAGGCGAGCCCAGAGAGTGGAAATGCTGCGACATCAACCTCAGGGAGCTGAAGATTTTATTTCCATGACAGAAGTGCAAGAGCCCTAAAGTATGATCCATCTCCAGCATCCACATGAGGATTTCTCTTCTGGTGGCACTTATCCATGGGCCACCCATATTGTCTTTGCCACACGTATCTCCTCAATCCCAACATTAGTAATAAAGAAGCACATTTGCAATATTTGTGTGGGAGTGTGTATCTATCTGCCTTTTGGAATTAGGAAGAATGTGATATACATTGTTCTCAAAATGCCATTTATGGGGCAAAGAGGTCTTCATTTAGGAGGTGATCTCCTTGGGCTAAATCATCACAAAGAGTCCCAAGTTCCATGGTGTTTGGCACTGATCCATACGCTCTTTTTGTTTTGTTTTTTATTTATTTATATACTGGTCAGTCATGGAGCTTGAACTCTGGGCCTAGGCACTGTCCCTCAGCTCTTCAGCTTAAGGCGAATTTGCTCTACCACTTGAGCCACAGCACCACTTCCAGTTTTCTGGTGGTTTATTGGAGATAAGAGTCTCATGGACTTTCCTGCCCAGGCTGGCTTTGAACCTTGATCCTCAGCTGTCAGCCTCCTTAGCAGTTAGGCTGATTACATGCGTAAGTAACAGGTGCCAGGCTGATCCATATGCTCTAATGTGCTCTGTTAGCATTCAGTCCTCACCATATTTTCCCTCTTCGAGCCCATACATATGTTCAAGAAGGAAAAGGGTAAGTCATTATGTGATGACTCTTATTTCCAGACAGGGCTGAGTTCCATTCATACTGATGATTCCAGTCCTTCCTTGGACACCCAGAGAAACTTCCTGGCAATGTACTCACATGATTCATGAAAGGCAACCAAAAAATATGTAGGCTGCACCCAATTCCCTTCCCTTCCCTGCCATACAATTCTGGGGAACACACAGGCTCACAGAAGCCATTGTGAGCCTGCTCCTCAGAACAAGCATAGGAATCAGTCCTATCCAGGCTACAATGATCCTCCTCAAACTTTTTGCCCAATACCCTTCCCAGCAGGCATATTGTCCCATATTTCTGAGTACAGATCATGATGACATCTTGGATGTATTTGTCACTTCAAAAGTCTTTTAGAACTGGATGTTAGTGGCTCATACCTATAATCCTAGCTACTCAGGAGGCTGAGATCTGAGGATCAAAGTTTGAAGCCAACCTACATAGGAAAGTTCATGAGCCTCTTATCTCCAATTAATCACCAAAAAGCCAGACATGGAGCTGTGGCTCAAGTAGTAAGTGCTAGCTAGCATTGAAAGGGGAGAAAAAAGTTTAGGGACAATACTCTAGGCCCTCAATTCAAACCCCAGGTCTATCACAAAACAAAGCAAAATAAGAGAATATTTTGCATAAATATTTTTTCAAGTCTCTGCATCACTCTGTTGGGTATACATACAAAAGGGAAAGGCCTGGACCAGATGGTTATTGCATAATTAATTCTTTGGGTAATCACAAACTTACACCGCACTCTTTTACACACACCAGTAAATGCTTAGGGTTCCACTCTTTCTTTTTCTTTTTTTTTTTTTTTGCCAGTCCTGGAGCTTGAACTCAGGACCTGGGCACTGTCCCTGAGCTTCTTTTGCTCAAGGCTAGCACTCTACCACTTGAGCCACAGCGCCACTTCTGGCCTTTTCTGTTCATGTGGTACTGAGGAATTGAACCCAGGGCTTCATGTATGCTAGGCAAACACTCTCCCACTAAGCCACATTCCCAGGCCCATGTGAGACTCTTGTCTCCAATAAATCACCAAAAAACTGGAAGTGGTGCTGTGGCTCATGTGGTAGAGTGCTAACCTTGATCTGAAGAGCTGAGGGACAGTACTCAGGCCCAGAGTTCAAGCCCCATGACCAACAAAAAAAAAGTGGAAATTGCAGGCTGGGAAGATAGCTCGGTGGTAGAGTGCTTGATTCGCATGCATGAGGCCCTAGGTTCCATTCCTTAGCACCACATAAGCAGAAAAGCCGGATGTGGCACTGTGGCTCAAGTGGTAGAGTGCTAGCCTTGAGCTGAAGAGCTGAGGGACAGTGCCCAGGCCCAGAGTTCAGGCCCCACGACCGACCAAAAAAAAAAAGTGGAAATTGGAGTTTCCTTATTCTTACCAGAACTACCACCCAGTAAACCATAGTAATCTATAGTATTAAATGTTTATTCCACTACAGGTAAGAAGGAAAGTACACTTCTTTGCTGAGCTCCTATTGTTAGGTTTGTGTGACTGGCTATGATGGTGTGGCTTTTTGCTAAAGGCTGTGGCATTATAGGTAGAGACAGGAGAGCTGAGCTTAAGCCATGGTGAGTTCAGCGCTTGGAGCTTGTGGATGACCTTCCGTCTAGCCCTGAATGTCAGCCCCACCTCTCTATGCCCTCCCCCTCAAAGGAATGGAGCTGCCAGCCCAGTACAGTGGTGACTGGGGGAATGACCATCCCTACTGCAGGATCTGTAGGCTGTTTTGTTTTACAAGCTAAGAATAATATGGAGTTTCAAGTAAAACCAGTTTTTCAAAGTCAGCCAAAATCTACCTTCAAAAGGATGAACAATGGCTGGGAATGTGGCTTAGTGGTAGAGTGCATGAAGCCTAGGGTTTGATTCCTCTGTACTACATAAACAGAAAAGGCCAAAGTGGAGCTCTGGCTCAAGTGGTACAGTGCTAGCCTAACATGCATGAAGCCCTGGGTATGATTCCTCAGTATTACATAAACAGAAAAAGCCAGAAATGGAGCTGTGGCTCAAGTGGTAAAATGCTAGCCTTGAGCAAAAGTAGCTCAGAGATAACACCTAGGCCCTGAGTTCAAGCCCAGGGCTGGCGCGCGCGCGCACACACACACACACACACACACACACAAAAAAAAAAAAAAAACTTTAAGTATTAAAGTAGCAAAAGCGGGCACTGGTGGCTCACGTCTGTAATCCTAGCTATTTACGAGGTTGTGATCTGAGGATGGCAGTTCCAAGCCAACCCGGGCAGGAAAGTCATCAAGACTCTCCAACAAACTAAAAAAGCCACAAGTGGAGCTGTGGCTCAAGTGGCAGAGCAATAGGCTTGCACCCAGGCCCTAAGTTGAAGCCCCAGGCCAGCTCACACACACACAATAAAAGACAAACACACGTATAGATATGCTCGCTCATTCCCCACACACACCCCCAACGGGAGAACTGGCCAGCCCATCTCCTACTGTGTGACCCTGCCATAGTGGCGCATGCGCCCCAGGAGGTACAGCCCACTTCACGTAGCACAACAAAACCTCGTGAGAACTGTGACCTTGCAACTGCATTAATCATCATAACTGAGATCCGTCAACTGAGAGGACACACCATTTTGGAGCTGGAAAGGGCGTACTTGCTTCAAAGTCATTTCATCATGGATGTTCCGAAAGAGAGCAGCTGCCAGAGCCTGGAAGCCCCTAGGCGCCAGGAAGAGGTGCAGGGTAGGTACACAGATGATTTGGGGTGAATTCGCAGATACAAAGCTGGTGTGGGTCGAGTGGGGGGAGCGGCTCCTTCGCCGCCATTGCTGCGTGCGGCCCTCACCTCGCGGCAAAGCCTCCATCACTGCTGCTCTCTCTAGCTCTCGCCCTCTCACTCGGCGTCTCTCCTTCGCAGGCGTGAAGCCCACAGTGACTTCAGTGACTGGAGGGGAAGGAGACGAGGCCGGGGAGAAAATAAAGCGCGAAGATGAGCAGGGAGCGGCCGGAGAAGGCCC